GTTCCTCTGCAGGAGGAGGAAGGCAGGACCCCCGGGCAGCTCTGTCCCCTGTGGCTTTGTTCAGCAGCACCGCCTTTGACACCTCGTTCCTTCGGCATCCGGAGCGAGGAGGAGGAGGAGATTGCTGGGTGCGTTGGCCAGCGCCTGTGGGTTCGTTCTGGGCTGGCAGATTTTGCCTTTACTGGCCATGGGTAGTTTCCTCTGCTTGCCCGTGTGCGTATCTGGCAGGAGCTTCTCTGCCTCAACGGACCCCTGGAACGCCTTGGATTTAGCCCTGCTCTGAATACTGTGAGACTGCGAGCCCAGAGGGAAGTGGCAGGTGGAGGAACTGGGATGAAGCCGGACTGGGAGGGGCTGTGCTCACAGAAGGCCACTCTGCCCCAGCTGGGGTAGTGCCATTCCCTGCTGCCCCACAGCTCACCCCATCCAGCCAGGCCCCCTTTGGAGGGGCCAGTTGGGCCACCCAGAGGGGAAGGAGCCATGGACTCCTGGACCCACCTGCCCAGTTGCGTGTTGCGAAATCTGGATGTGACTCGGCACATTCAGAAAAGCACACCTCGTGAAGAAATATTCTGAAAATAGGTGTGTTGGTTGATTTAAAGCAGACAGAAATGAGAAAGAGGATTGCTCTGCGTGTCTGGATGCATGCGCATTGAACTGACACGGGCCAGAAACGGACTGATCTGTCCACCCTCGCTGGCATTCCTTGCTCCACTGGGATTGCTGCATGGTTTGCTTGCTCTCAGCCTGTCACATTATTGATTTTCCGTAGTGCCACTCACAGACGCGTAGAAGACCACCTGTGTCAGAAGAGACAGTTCGATCTTCCTGCACAGATTAAAGCCCATATTTTGGCAGTGGGCAAGGAAAGCAGGCAGCAAAGCGCCTTCCTCAACAGGGTGCCCTCCATGTGCTTTGGGGCTATACTTCCCATCAGCCCTAGCCAGTGGTGAAGAATAATGGGTGTCGTAGTCCAAGAATCTGGAGGATCTCAAGTCAGGGGAAGCAGTAACAAAGAGAAGAATTCGTAATGGAATGAGCGAACTGTAGCTGCACCTGCTTGAGCCACATTTCAGCAGGGCATGAGGACTAGCAGCTTGGGAACAAATTATTTCATGTGGTACTGGGGGGAACTGAGCACAACCAGATGGGTGTGAGTGGCAGTGTTCTGGAATGACGTTGCAGACAGGAAGGGGAACCAAGGAAGATGGTGGGGCTGGGTTGCTGCTGTCGAACTTTTGAAGTCAGAAACATTTCCCAAAATAACCCAGATCACTATCAGTCAGTCACAATCTCTGTTCTGCTTCAAGGAGACCTTGGGATGGGAGTGCTTTCAAGGTTAATACCATCTCTTTGTGGGCTTGCGCTTTGTGCCAGAGGTTGGGTTAGAAGTGATTCTGTAAGACCTTGTGCCAGATTGCTGGGATCAGTTGCCAGACTTTCAGAAGCCCGAAATCGCCTCTGGCAGAGGAGGCTATCCTGTCGGGCTGTGTCTCTGCATGAATACCTGTGCTGGCCTGCCTTCCAGCTTTTGCATCAGGTGTATCTGGAGCATTCAGCCTCTCTCTCTAGGTAGCAGAACAACGTATGCTGGGAGGAGGGTGCCCATTGCAGCCCTCTATGAATCTGTTCCCTCAGCTTTCATCCGCCAGATTGGGTGGGGAAGGAACTTTTTATGTCTCTTAGGAGGTGTTTCCTCTGAAGGCAGAAAAATCTTGCTCTCTCCACACTCTCCTCCTTTCAACAGGAAAGGCTGCCCTGGCAGGTAGCAGGTCTCAGACCGAGATAGGCCGGTGAACCTGATTTGAATAATGCACAGGAACATTAAAAGCCAAGCTGCATCAAATCAACAGCCCGCCTGGTCTAGCTTTCTGTTCCTGCAGTGGCTAACCAGATGCCTTTAAGAAACCCATTAACAGGACAGGAATGCAGTAAGCCCCACCTGCTCATGTTTCTCTTATAAATCTCAGAATAAAAGTTGCAGGGATAAGGTGCCCCACTGGCATGAGCAGGGGAGGCCTACAACTCCTAATTCAGTGGGACTTCTTATCTCTTGCAGCTTTTATTCCAGATTTTATAGGCGCTATTTACAGAGCTGAACTCCATGCCAAAAATAGGTCCAACACTCTGGAACTCCATGGACGGCTGCTGTAAAGCTCAGAATTAAAGCTGCAAGGGATAAGGAGTCCCGTTCACATCAGTGTCTCCCCCGTCCTTGCGGTGCTGTATCGCCCTTTTTTAAGCCTCTCCACGTTGGGTGGTCTTCCCTGCACCATCCTGGGTGGCCTCCTTAGATCTGGCTTTGCATGCAGACTGCCCCAAATCCTGCCCTCACCCTCTCCATCAGAAGAACCTGGGTGGAGGTGAACTCTCCAAAATCTCAGTGCACGAAATCCAGGAACACTCCTTCCAGTTTAAACAGGAGCTTGGTTCTTTGTGGGGACAAGCCGTACCCCATGACCTCCAGTTTCTGCTGGCTCTTCTGAAACCTGGTGCACTGTTTTAATGCAGGGCTCCACGCAGGGTGCCTGCCTCCCTGCCCCCCCCACCCCGCCTGCAGCCCTCCTCAGCTGCTGCCACTGCCTCCACCTGAAGTCCCTTTTTAGCTGAAGGATGAGTCACCAAATTGAAGGTGACGTGTGCTTGTACCTTGCTGGCAGTTCCATCAAGGGCTTTGTGACGTGCGCATTAGGACTGGAGGCAAAGAGCCCCCAAGTTCTCTCCCAGATACTCAGCATGTGGGGAGGGGAGAGAGAGACGCTTCCAAATCTAATGTTTGATTCAGGGGAGACCCAAACTCAAGAAGACTGTGTACATGGAAGCCTTTTCTTTTTCAATTATTCATCACCCAACTTTCCACTCATGGGTACAATGAGGAAAATATAATACAAAGTCATACCCACATGTCAGTAACAAAAACCCTGAAAGACCTCCAGCAGGTAAAGTAGAAATCATGGAGACCAAATTAAAAGAACTCTTGCAAGGTCTTCTCAGTTGTGGCACCGAGATTTGGAGTGGTCTGCCTCTCTCCCTGACTGGCTTTGGAGAATGTGATAACCCACATTCAGAGATTGAGTATGGGTATTGTTGTTGCACTGTGGGTTGTTGTTGAAATATTGGTTACTGTGTTGTCTGAACCCCACCATGCTACCAAGCCAGTTGGTTAACCAAAATCAACCCATGAAGAGAATCCGTGGTTTGTTGTTGGACTTCTTGTTGTGAGGTCTGAGTTGTTCATGGTTGACAAACCATGGTTTGTTGGAGCATCTGGGTTCCGATAACGTAATAACCCTTAGTTTAAAAACCACCCACAGTTCAACCCTCAAAAGGAAGTGATAATGTTGCCCAAACCCAGCCTTTGTTTTATGTTCTTGGGTCCAACACAAACTGGACATCATTAGAAAACTTCAAAATACAGCTGCCAATGACCAGGAGAGTGGAAGGTACCACTCCAAAACCCTTGACTGCTTGAACTGGTTCCCAGTTTGGTTGTGAGATGGCCTGGCCTTCTTAGCCAGATGGTGGAGGGTGGGTTGAGCACTGACCGCTTGCAAAAACCTGCCCAAGGTCTCCATTCTCCTTCAGACCCTCGTCTGTGATGCTGCAGTTGAGTGCCAAGGGCAGGCAGCACCCAGATTTCGGAGTAGCTGCTCTGAGAGTCCCACTGCCTGCATTAGGTCCAGGCAGTCCTACAACCATTCTCTTAACTCATCCTGCATGATTTAGACTTTAACCGCTGGCAGTCTTTGAGTGTTCTTATTAGTAGTATGTAGGTATGGCTTTGTATTCTATTTTTGTCATTGTTTTCCTGTGAGCAGAGAGCTGAGCTATGAATAAGTGAAGTAAAACGGTTTTGGTGTGCACGTCCTTCTTGTGTTTGACCCTCTGTCCCTTTCTTCTATCTCCCAAGTCACATATTAGATTTGTAAGCTGCTCTGGGCAGGGAACTGTCCTTATGAACTTTGGGAAATGTTGTGTGTGCTGACATCTGTATGAGAAGAGATCCTGACTGGGGCTGTGCATCATTCCCTGTTGGGAATCCAAGGTTTTTAGTGACTCTCAAAGAGTTGCCTTCCTTGCCTACCGCAACACCCTGTGGGCAGCCTGGAGGTTGTCCTCTGGCTCTGTCCTGAAGAAGTTCCTCAAAGCCACTTAGATGTTCTCGCACCCAGACTTGTCCCCAGTGCTTCTTGAAGACCCAACCTGACCCGAAAAGGAGAAGATGGAGAGAAGGAATCAGGAATGTTCATTTGTTATACTATTATTCTGCGATGCTACATATCCCATTTCTCACCCAATTTTCTCCCATTCTTAGCCTCACAACAACCCTGCTAGGTAACTTAAGGACATGAGAAGAGCCCTGCTGGATCAAACCAGAAACCTTCCTGTTCCAGCCTTCCTCTGTTCTCACAGTGGCCATAGGAAACCAGAAGCAGGATGGGGGTGCAGCTGCTCCCTCCTGCTCCCCAGTTCACTGTCTCTGACCTTCACAGAGGGACCCTTGCTCTTTTCAGACTGTGCGCAGGAGGAGGAGCAGGAGCATATGCCCTTGGAGGTGTTCCTTCCCTTTGCTAAACTGTGGTCAGAAGCGAGCAGCAACGGTGGTTAAGGGGGCTGATGGGACATTGCAGACCACCTTGCCCCTCCCTGAGAAGTCGCTTGGCACTGCCTCTGTACCAGCAGAGGCTCTGAGACGGTCTTCAAGGGCTGCCCTGCGTCACGAACATTGCAGCAGTCTAGCCTGGAAATTAGCAGTGGGCGCATCGGCTCCCACTCATGCATGTGTGAATGTAGATAGAAGAGGCTGGGGGCAAACTGCTTGTGAATCTTAGGGGTGCAAAGACCAGGACTTCTACAGTGCCTGCCACAATCGCCTAGACCATGGCCGGTCTCAGAGATGCTGCTTTTTAGAGCCCACTAGGACCTTTTCCTTCCCAGTCCAGCTGCCCTGCCATGGTTGCTCCGCTGACGTGTGTGTTCTTCCATCCCTCTCTCCACAGGTGTTAACACCACTCCAGGAGAGCCGTGAACTTTGCTGAACGGGGGCTGACCTGGCTGAGGTTGGAGGCCTCGGAGTGCCGTCAGCATGAATCCCAGCCCTGGCATATGTCTAGTCCTGCCTTTGCTCAGCCTCACCTCCTTTCTGCTGACCGGATGTGCCACCGAAAGTAAGTCCACCAGCTCCTCTCACGCTCTGTTCTTGCTCCTCTATGCCAGTGTCAGATGTGGCTGGCTGCGGGCGGGAGGGCGTCTTCCTCTAAGCGTGACACGTTTCTAATGCCGTCCTCATTGCTTGGGGTCAGAGACTGATGATAAGAAAGCCCTCTGCACGTGATCAAGCCTCTGTTCTCTTAGTCATAGCTGTGCCTGTTCTCCACTCAGAGGTGAACTGGTTGAAAGAGTTGGTGCATTCAGCTGGGAGGCCCTGCACTGGGTGTGGTGGGTGGACAGGACCTCCCAAGTCCTGTCCAAGTCTCACATGCTGCGATTCTCACCTTGCAGCTGGAGACCACCTGCAGGGTCTGGAATTGAGGTGGGTGGCTCTCGGAAGGGCCTTCTTGGTTGTGGCACCCTGGTTGTGCTATGAGCTCCCAAGAAGCCAGCCTCCATTGCATTATTTTTGGGACCAGAGGAAGACCTTTTTATGCTCCCAGTATTTTAACCATTTAACTGTATTTTTAATTTCATATTATTCCATACCACTGCTCTGCTTCTCTGCTGACTCAATTGCAATTGCTACTGTGGTTTTGTTGCTTTAAGTTTATTTTGTGTGCATTTGTTTCTTTTGTTAACATCCCAGGGAGCCTTGGCTAAGAGCAGAATACAAAGGAAAAAAAAATACATAAATGAATTATTGGCTCCCCAGTCTCCGCAAACACTGGGAAACACAGGAATTTTCAACACAAAAGCTAGGTTTTGGGAAGGGTAGCAAAAAATAAAGCAGGAAGGGCAGGCTTGAAGAAGCTTAGCTGTTCTCTATGGTTGCCTGGGGGCAGCAAAAAGTGCCCCAGGCAAACCACTGTTTGTAAACCAGGAAACAGGGTGGTTCTGTCCTCATTCCATTTGTCTTCCTTGCATGTTACTTTCATCTCCTGTGTCTCACGTGGGCTGGGCATCCGGTAGCAGGTACCGGGAAGATGGAAAAATTGAAATCGGTTTAGCAGAAAGTTCAGTTTTATGAGGAAGACTTGGGTGGCAGTGGAAGGGTTAAATCTTCCTTTCCCAAATGGTGGCTCTGCAGACTACAATTCCCAGCATTCCTCAGCCAAGATGCTGGGAGATCACTTCCGACAAAGGTAACAGGTGTAAATGCAGACTGGACTGCAGGTTCTTTGATTGCCTGCCTGTTAAACTTTGTGAATATAACAATGTAATGCAATTTATGTTGCACTCATTCTTTTTGGACATCTGCAGCAGCTGGTGGGCATTTCTGTCACCTAGTGCATTCCCTCGACTCCACTGCAGGGCCTCCCTTGCCTGTGTCCTTGCCAGGAAAACCCCTTGATAACTTCGGCAGGACTGGTGACCCTCTTTGGGGAGGGTCGAGGGCTCAGCTGTCCCAGAATTTTCCACTTCCGGTCCGGGCCTCCTTGTCTTCCCTCACCCATGGTGCACTGTGTTGGACTGGTTGCTCTGCTCTGCTCATTGCCGTCATCTTTTTCCTGCTGCCCGTTGTTCCTTCCAAGGACACCCGAATTAAGCTTACAGAATGTCACCTTGCTTGCATGTTGGATCAAATTAAATCAAGCCACAGTGATGTCATTCTGTGCCCCCCCAACACACACACCTTTCCATCAGTGCTGTTTAAATGAGTCAAATCGGGATAGGAACGGTAGGACACGGCAGAGGCACTTCAGTGGCAAGAAATTGGGGTGGCGACTGCCCCTGGCCAAGGGCACGATCCGACTGCGTTTCGACGGAGCCAAGCCCTACCGTTCCCAGTGTGACTGGCTGGGGTATCCCAGGGTGTTGGGGGCAATTTTCTGTGCAACATTGCAAAGGCTCCCCCACCCCAAGTTTCTCAACAGTTGGTGGGCAGAATTCGTTATGAACAACATACTCTAAAAATGCAAATATGTGTTTTGTAAAATCCAGGTGGCATGCATCCTGTTATGAGGCATTCTGTCCTCTGCACAGTTTCTCCCACAAGCGGCACAAGACTCTTTCAAGATGGGGAGCTTCTGCTCTGGAGAAGGGGGTGCTGGTGGGCCCTTCAAAGACACAGAGCCCCAGGGCACAAGTGGGCATCACTTCTGGACCGGCTTGCACATCTGTTTGTTGTGCTCATTCAGAATTACTTCCCCGAGATCTGTTTAGATCACACAACAGGCAAAATCCAGTGGGCCAGTATCCCATCTGAAGCAGAATAAACTCTTGCATCAACCCATCTCCTTTGACCAAAACCATTTCAAAGCAATAGAACCAATAGAAAAATCCATGCAAAGGCTGTGCAGGCAGGGGGTGTTTCTAAGCTACATTACTGTAAAGGCAGGATATGAATATAATAAAGAAAGAAACTGGAGGTAAGCAGATTTCATGGGTCCTAAGAGATATTCAGGGCACTCAGAAAAACAGATGTACAGTTACATCCTTGAGTCGCGGCCGGACAGAGCCCTTGTCTGGGGAGCTAGGTGCAAATTTAATCCACAGACTGAATTGGATGGAACTTTGGTTATTATACTCTATTTGCAGGGTGGTTAGGAGACCTCCCCCACCACTGTACTCTCCCCGCCCCCCAGTTAATTCCTAGAACAAGCAAGAGGGGTGCTGTTTCTTCCCTCTTCCCACTTCCAGTTTCCCAGAGGAATGGAGGCTGGCTGTGATCCTTCCATCACAGGATGCATCCCTCCAGGTTTTGCTCAACTTCAGCTGTTGCTTTGCTGCTAGTGCTGATAGGAGTTGTGGTCACATCTTTCCTGCCCCTGGTCTTTATTTACCTTTTGATTTCTTTATTAAATTTCTACCTGCCCATTATCCAGAATGGCTCTCTGGGTAGCTTACAAAATATAATAGCAACAACATATGCAATAAACAATAATATTAAACTATACATATAGTTATTAAATTTGTATAAAAGCTGTGCATTAGCACAATGCCTTTTGGGTGGCCATCACAGCAAAAATATAAATAATACATACATGCTGCACAATAAAATAAATGGTGATAAAACACAGGAAAACCCTATGATGAAGCCTCGCAAGTGCGGTTCTGTTTTACCAAAGGCACAGTAACATTTAAATAGAGCAAATATCATGTAAACATCTCTTTAAAATTCTTTAACAATTAAGATATTGGGTGAATAAAGAGGTCTTTGCCTGTTGCTGAAAAGAACAGAGAGAGGGCAGCAGGCAAGCTTCTTTGGGGAACTGGTTCCAGAGTTGGGGTGCCTTTGGTCCATTTTTGAGGGGAAATGAATTTTCTCAGGGATTTGCTCCATGCATTCTCGGGCTAGCAAGGTGGGAATAAGTTGGGACAACCAGAAATGCGTGGGGTTGTTTAAATTCTCCAGACAATGCTACAATGTTTGCACCATCTCTTCCCAGTCTCATATTTTTGCAGATATTCAAACAGGGAAAGTGCTTTTTTCCCAAAAGTGCACATTTTCTCCTCACTAAGGTGTGAAAATGTGTATTTTTCAAACATGCATGTTTAAGAACAGTATTAAACTGGATTTTCTAAACTGGGCATTTTGCAAGGTGCATATTTCTTAATGAGTGTATTTTTAAGAGTGCACATTTTGCAAATGCAAACAGAGGTTTGGGAATTTGTGAATGTTTTCAGAGAGGAAGTGTTCTTGCTTGCATTCATTGTTGCAAGGGAGGTATTTTCTAATAATTTGCAATCCAAAACTAAATTTACCTGCATCTCTTCATGGGAAGTTACCTTTACTCCAAGTCAGTCCATCAGGTCCATAGCTCTGTCCTGGCCCTCTGGAGTCCCAGACAAGAGATGCCTGAATGTAGAACTTTCAACATGCAAAGTGGGCCATTGAGCTACACCTCTTTCACTAAAAGTAAAGCAAGTTTCTAGTTCTGGTGGTTCCACTTTAAAAGGCAACATCAGAAGCTTCCTTATGCAGAGTCTAAACCTTTGGCACTTCCAACCCAGATATACCCTTTCTGCTGTGAGTATTCCCAAGGGTTAAGCAAAGTCTGGTGCAGGAGTTGTAACAGCTGGGGAAGAAGGGCAGTTAAACCTTCAGCAAAGTTTTCCAGGTGGTTCACCAAAACCAAAGAACAACCAAGATAAACAAAAAACAAATCTCCGTCAAGGGAATCTGTGCTGGGCAGCATCCCCATCTGTTTGCAAATGGCTCTTAAAAGTTCTTTTTATTTCACTCTGCATTGAGTTAAACATGCTGAGCTGAATGCTAAATCATGTGGCTACTCGCAGCTTTAAATTACATTTACCATATGCGTTCAGTTTTGTGATTTCAAACAGACTGTTTCTACATTTTTTGTCAGGTTTGTCTTCCCTCGTTAGGTTGGGAGGTGTTCAGAGAGGCCTTTTGCCCTTGAAAATGAGGCTTAGAAATACAAAGAGAAACGAATGACCAGACAAATATGCTTAGAGAAAATGAACATCTAGGACGCATCCCAATCAGCTGCTTGTATTATCCAGGTGAAACAAATCAGGGACAATCAGTAGCAGAGCACCGGCTGATGGCTGGGTTTGCTGCACTGGACCAGCCATTCCTGGCATGGGGAATTGATCCGTGGGGGGTGGGGGGAGGCTGCCCCCACCCCCACCGAGAAGGCCAGCCCCGCTTTATCTGTGAGCTGAAAAATGAGCAACTGCTCCCGATGTTTGCTTCCCGCTTTTCTCCTGCTTCCTGATTCAGAGCTTGCGGGCTGGGACTGTCTCGTAGCTTAATATTTATGCAACACTGAGCAAAATGTAGGCATATTAATTATACTCATTAATAATAATGGATAATAGGCCATTGCCACTGAGCAGTGCAGGGCGTGAAAACAACCCACCCCTGTACAAACAGACAGGCACACTTTTAAACTAACATTGCTTTTGCCGTTGGGCTAGTGCTGGTGAAGGGGGTTGATTTTAAAGATGACTTAAAGATGACAGCAACTCCCCCCCACTCTTGGGCGCTGCCCTGGCATCCAGCAACCACTGCTGGAAACAGGATTGTGGGCTTCTGATCTAGCAAGAC